CGCCGAAATATTTCAGAATTTTTATGCATAATCCTTGTTATACCAGCGAAAATTGAAACTGGGAAATTTCATTTTTCTTTCTCGACCCTTTAAAGGAGCCTCACCGCTTAAGAAACGCACGAAGTTCCAGGAGGCTTTCAATTTATGCTAGCACGCGTGTTTCTGAAGGTTTTAATTTGTAGCCGTTTTATTATGATAGCAATTATAAGGACACTCTCGGCTGGATTTTGCCGTCGGCGTCGACGTGGGCGTCACCGTCACTCACCGTATATGTGTATATGTATACGTATTCATACATGAAAACGTAAGAAAGAAGAAAATCCAGAAAAAATCCTGGCGTGCGGAATCGAACTTGGGACCTCTGAGACGTGGGTTCGAGGCCTTAACCACTAAGCCACGGAAGAGCACGTCGCTGATCACTCAAACAGCAAGCTATTTATATCTACTACCTACCGCTGGTAACAGTAATCGAGGGGGGGGGGGTAGACTATCGTGTTTTCAGCATTACCAGCAAGATGGCGCGATGAGCTCGCGTCGCCGCACCCTCACGACGCGGCGGCGCGCGCTCTCATCCCCCAGGCGTACTTTGCCCTGCGGAAAGGAGAGGGAGGGCGTTCAGTCGCATGCCCTTATCTCGCGATGGGGAGGATCGTACGTCTTGGCTGGCCTTTGGCTTTCACCAGAATGATTCTGTTGTAGTTACTGGACACGCAATGGTCACTGCAATCATTTCACAGTCTCCATTTGCGACAAGAGCGCGCTTTTCAGACACAGCCAAGTACCAACTGAGACGCTTATTCGCGTTCATCTGTACCTGTGAGTACGTTTCGTGCGTGATTTGTGCGTGAGAAACGCGGGGCACGTTTCAATCTGTTTGCCATTACGCGCGTGACCTTCCCATTTATTTCTATCGCGTTGATTGCTTCGCGTTTGTGGCAAAGCTGTGACTTTATTTTTAAAAAACCGTCCCTCCATGAAGTGCATAGAAAACGAACTTGTCTTCTGCAGACAGAATGCCAAAAGCGATGGAGACGGGTGAAACAAAAATTGGGGGACCCTTAAGTTTCGCCTTTAAAAAGTAGAAGGCGATAGTAAAATCCGGCCCTAGTGTGCCCTTCAACTGCTAAGTGCATACCTAATAATACGTTTTTTACAAACACACACACATGCACACACACTCACACAAGTGCGTGCAAGCGTGATGTATCTACAGTAACGCATTGACTGTGCAGTGTGGCCACTCCCCTCTGCCATAAAGAGTGTCACAATGCCTCACAGATGGCAGCACGATATCTAGCGTTTGCTGTTTGCTTGATGAACCCAACGCCTCCTCTACGTCTCTGGAAATGCATGATATGTTTTTCGCTAGATGGACATAGTTGTCCATTTTTAGAACTGTTTGAATGTTCCTGTGTTTTTAGTGGCGATGGCTGCGATATCCCGGCCTTTTTCGACGTAGTTTGATGGCCTCCCGAATGCGCCTAAAAATCGCCGAGTGAGCTCATTTTCGTCGCGACACCTGTCGAACGAAATGCGTTAAGGCGACTCCTTCCACTACATGACATTTATGTAGTGTTTTTTTTCCTGGAGAAGCAGCAAGTAACATCGTGGCTTTATGGCAGGACATCAGCTTGCCAAGCGGATGGCCTGGGTTTGATCCCAACTGGGACCAAATATTTTAATCTTTATTTTATTTTCTTCTTTCTCAATTTTTCACTCATGGTCGATTTTTTGCTCACAACCAACGGTGCCAACGCTGACGGCGGAATTTTCACGACACGAGCTCTCTAACGCTATCGTGTTAAAAAGAGCGGGGAAGAAGCGATGCCACTTTCTAGCTCGGAAACCCCCACCCTTCATGCGGCATCCGATACTCGATGGGAAACCATTAATCAGTTGAAGCCTTTCGAGACACGGCGCGGTGACCGTGGAACGCTTGCCCACGGGCCTGCTTTATAGCGAGCCACGTGGAGAAAAAAGTGGAGACTAACAATATATAGGACGAGGTGAAACGAGCGGTTCAGGAGAGAGGGTTCTCGTGACTCCATTGCCATGGGGCCCTCTCATATGCTAATGCTAATTCATCTGAACGCCCGCGAGCGTAGATCGATGCGTAGACCACATTGCCGAGGCTTACACAGTGCAGTGCCCTGCGCAATTACGCCGAGAAAAAATTTGCTGGTCTCCGCGGCCTTAGTTTCTCCCTTTAAAGCTATAAATATTCCCGATCTTCAGGCAGGGAAATGGTGCCTTCTCGCAGCCGGTGTTTCGGAGACGAAAGCGGTACAGTGCCGCCAGGCCTTCGCCGAGTGGAGCTTCATAACGTGCCTGCCAATTTTTCGGTGGCTTATGCGCACTAGAATGAGCTTCACTTCACCTCATTGCGAGATGCTTGCGCATGTATCGTTGGAGAGGAAGCGGTTTACATTAGAATGCGCTCCCAACAAAATCTTTGTTAGTGATAGTCAGCAATTCGAATACACAGATAATTTTTTTCTTCAGATTTGGGCATGGTAGAGAACCCCGGGTGGTCCAAATTTCCGGAGCCCCCACTACGGCATCTCTTATAATCATATGGTAGTTTCGGGAGTAGTTTCGGGTAGTTTCGGAATTCCACATATCAATCATCAACCGATCACTTTCTGTTGCATTGCGGTGTGTTAATTCAGTTTTTTTTTGTACTACATAGTCGTGCGAGTGAACCAGCTAAAGTACAGCGGCACTGCAGTCCGCTGTTCCAGGTGTAATTTAAACTATGGGTACCTTAATTCTGGAAGTGAACTCTGCACCGGTATGCTTAGTTTTCCACTGGCTGTGTCAGGCAAATGAAGCGTATACACTGTAAGGTCCACACGCGGCATAGTTGTTTCTAGGTCACGCTGTTTTAGAGGAATCTGCATTTATTTCAACTGTCTGGATTCGGTAGTTTAGAGTGACCGTATAAGCAATAACCGCACCCTCCCTTTTGTAAATGCGGCTGTTTCGAATGGAATTGCGTTATATATGCTATGCACTCAGTCTCTGCCGTGAGTGACGTAGCGTCAGTGAAACATAATTAGAAAAATGGAATTACACAAGCGCAGGATTTTTTACTAGGCAGAGAAAAAGCCACGCTTTCGATATGTTTACGGCATGTCTTGCTGCATGTGGTCACATTGTGGTGGTAAAACACGCCAAAATATTTTGTCGCAGCTCTGTAGCTCTTGCCTAACAACGACTCTTTATTTTGTGTATGTTGATCTTGTACATTTTATAGAGCAGTGTGTTGGTGCCGTTGGAACACTAAGGCAATTTAAGTGCCTAACCTTGTGACCCATAGGAAAAACGGGGCTCTCGTCCTCTTCAAATCTCCTATTCAGCTTGTTAACCCGAGCGGAGCGAGGCGGATTTCGAATGCTCTGCCTTTAAAATCGCAGAGAGCTCTCTTTGGCAATAGTTTGCGGAGCATGCACCATTGAAACATTTACGAAGCGCACGCTTCAGTTAACTCGCTTCTAAGCATTAGGCAAGGCCTGTCCTCCGCGTGGCCATTCGTTTGGGTTCACGCAGACTTGCGACACGGCAGTAATTTGTCTTCAGACACAGCAGCTGTGTGACAGCAAAGTGAACGTTTGAGTTTTCAAAATATACGTGCTTCTTGGTTCATGGAATGCATGTCGACTATAAAAAACGGCTTGAAAATCTCTTGCTGTCGGATGTAGAGAAATCAGACATTTACTGCTTGCGAAAGAGAGACATTATTGTGCGTGTGTGTGTGTGCATGTGTGTGTGTGTGTGTGTGTGTGTGTGTGTGTGTGTGTGTGTGTGTGTGTGTGTGTGTGTGTGCATGCGTGTGTGCATGCGTGTGTGTGTGCGCGCGCGCGCGCGTGTGTGTGTTTGCGTAAGTGAGGGATGGAAACGAGAGAAGTCGTCTTTGCTATGTTTTGTAGGACTCACCGTACTTCATACGAGGTGATTGTAACGATGGCGGGAAGAGCGTGAAAATGTCGCCTTTGTTCTATGAATTTCTCCTCAGTGTGCCTTTAGGTCATTATAACAGAAGCGTACGTTAAAAATGCTAAAATCGCGTGGCAAGTCGTGGGTGAACAGGTTAACTGCAGCCCATTTGTGACGCCACAGGAAGCGGTGGGCGCCGTACCACTCCTGTGCGGACGCTGGTCCTAAACGGAAGCTTCGAATCGGGAAAGTGAATCTGCAAAGGCTCTTGGATAATTTTGAGGTGCTGTGATTGCTGAAAGGGATCATGACAATCAGTTTTCCATCATAATATGTGCTGCATGGGTTGGTTCATGTGCGTTCACATGAGAGGCAGGCAACACTGGTACACGATCGCGAGCCGTGGCGTAACAAGTTGCTTGCTTCGCGAGCGTCTGTACTCCGGAGAACTATTTCAAGTCCTGACCAGCTGTGTGTGGAATCGCGCAACTTCACCTTTCTTCAGCACGGTACTGAAATTGAATGACTTGCAGTACCCGAAACTTTGGTACGTGTCTACGACTCAGCTTCATGCAGGACATGACTGCACACAAGACATAGCAAACCGAAGTTCGCCGCCACTCGGTGGGGCGTATGGCCGGCGGGCCTATTCTTCACAGAAATAGTCTTTTGCAGTCCAATGTTCGCATATGTGCATGTATACAGTAGACTCTCTTCTAGTTCTGCCCCGCCGCGGTGGTCTAGTGGCTAAGGTACTCGGCCGCTGACCCGCAGGTCGCGGGATCGAATCCCGGTGGTGGCGGCTGCATTTGCGATAGAGGCGGAAATGTTTTAGGCCCGTGTGCTCAGATTTGGGTGCACGTTAAAGAACCCCAGGAGGTCTAAATTTCGGAGCCCTCCACTACGGCGTCTCTCATAATCAAATGGTGGTTTTGGGACGTTAAACCCCACAAATCAATCAATGGCTTAAGATTGCTAATTGTTAGGCAACCAAGAGTCATGGACCCTTGTACCTCTACCCTCGTTTCGAGGCGTTAGACACAGCACTGTGTGCTTTCCTGCAGGTGCGCGTCTACCAAGCGATGCCGGGTGTGTCTCCGCTGCGTGAGGAGGGCCATAGGCTGCTAGATGTGCGGCGCATGACGTACACCTCGGTTGGCTGGGAAGTGTTCTACGTGAAGGCCGCTGCCGTCGACTGGATCAAGGACCCTTCTTCAAATCTCGGTACGTGCCTTGGTATACACTGAAGCAGTGAACGCTGAATGATAGCTGATGTTTCAGACTGCCCATTCTAGAGACGCTACAGCGGTCACGCTCATCTTTTGCAAGAGCAACTTCGGGCTTTCTCCAGTTTTTCACCTACATTGTTGCACATATTTTCTTGCCTGTTCAAAAATAGTCGGGTTGTAAATTATGATCATTTCGTAGACGGAAGCGGTTGAGTCACAGGAGAGGTATACATATATATAAACAAGAATAAGATTAGCGCTATATGATGTGGTTTCATTGTATCGAGTGCTTTTGCGAAATTACATACAGAGTGTCAACTAGCATAACGTTCATATAAAATAGCTGTAGACATGATGCCGTAACAAGAAGAAAAAGCGCGTGCGCGCGCGTTTTTTTTTCTTTGCGTGTGAAGAAATTAAGATTTCAACTATTTTATACAAGCTTTGGGTTGGTTAACACTTTGTATGCAATGTTGAGGAGGTTTCTGTGTAAGACAAAAAATCTCCCGCTCATATTTTGTGCCAAAAAGATTTCGTACTTCAAAAACAACGAGTTCGATGCATTGTAGCACGGCGCACACAGTGTCTGGCGTCTGAAATTGTGCCACACCATTCAGGTTATCCTGTAACCGTGCCGTTGTGCTTGAATTTCCTACTGCTGAGACATGATAGCGTTCGATGTGTTAATTGTAGAATGGTGCATACGCCAAAACAAAAGGTTCCAACCTCTGCAACACGCTGAGGCCAATAATAAAAACTGCTGCGATGCCGACGGACTCCACGGAAACTTGCGAAATGCATGTTAAATTGCACAGGTATTGTACGAGAAATTTGGAACTACGGGGGCAAATATAGTCTCCACATTTGGCGTTTGGCAACACTGATTCCCTAGCCCCACCATGGTGGTCTAGTGGCTAACGTACTCGGCTGCGGACCCGCCGGTCACGGGATCGAATCCTGGCTACCGCTACTGCATTTTCGAAGGAGGCAAAAATGCTGTAGGCCCGTGTGCTCAGATTTGGGTGCACGTTAAAAAACACCAGGTGGTCGAAATTTCCGGAGCCCTCCACTACGGCATCTCTCATATTCATATGGTGGTTTTTGGACGTTAAACCCCACATATCTATCTATCTAACACTGACCGCCGAGCCTGACAACCGACTTACGCAACACCAAATAGAACCTTGCCAATAACGTATTATCGTATGCAGGTTTGTCGACGAACAAAGATGTTTTGTGAAAGAAACAGCTTCTATTTAAACTAGTTCTATGGAGCATTTGTTGTAATTATACAATCGCACTAGTTATAGTAGATGGAATAACTTTATCACAAATAATTTAGGGACTTAATTGTTACCAGAGAGCGCACAATGACGATGAAGATAAAAAGCGAATACGACCCTACTGCTCGTCAGTGCGCGCGCTATTGTAACAATGAATGCGTGCCAACTGGTCTGGAACGTACCCTAACCCTGCCTTTCTTCACAAGCTTTATCCTGATGTTTATTTAACCAACTCGTGTACAAAATGTGGCGGTTTAGCCACCTTACACCACATGCTCTGGGAGTGCCCTTCGGTACGTGGCACCGATACAGCATCGTCCAGAAAGTGGGACTCCGCTCTCCGGAGTCCAGACATAACATCGCAACTTTGGGCTGTCCAGAGGGCCCACGATGCGGCGCTAGGGCTCGGCCTTACTGTCCCATCGTGGGAGCGGCCCGCCGTGTGCTAGGGCGCACGCCTTCGGACTTGTCAATAAAGTTTTTCCAAACCAAACCAAACTGGTCTGGTTTTTTGCTTTGTAACTTAGGGACTTCGCTGATTCGAATGCATCAAGGTCGTTTTATCTTGTGCGAGCTGCCGATCATCGCTTCATTTGTCAGAAACTACGAGTTCAGCTGCAGCATCTTTCGCAGCGTCAATCGTTAAAATAAAACAAAAAGGAATTTTTTTTATCATTGCTCCTTGGAACAATGACTACATGGATATTTTCCCCTAAAAATTGTTGCGAATTTTACATATCAGGAGGAAGGCTTGAAAAACTCTGGGCTATGAATGAATCAAGAAAAGAGAATTTTGAGATCAAAAACACCAGATAATGAAAGGAATGAAGGTGTAGGAAATTGTGCTGTTTCAGGTGTAGTGTAGTATTATACTATATATGTGAATAAGCTAAAGTAGAAGAAATCAAAACTTGCCGCCGGCTCCCGGAACCTTGGGATCCGAAGGTTGTAGATTTGTTTCCTCACAGCTAACGTCCCCTATACTTTTGTTGGCCGCATTGTCTGGTGGTTTTCATTAGGACTCGTTGGGATAGAGAAAAATAGAGCTTTAATGGACCGTAAAATGTTCGCATTGTCGTCTTTAGTAGACCAAGTCCTTGCGTCGCGCTTGTCGAGAGATTTGACCATAGCGTAGGCAGGGGTGCCCCGGGAATAGCAGAACTTCCCATACGTAGAATAACAAGACGACAGCAACTCGTACAGGAGCTTGGTGTACTGCATTTAGAGGAAATCTTCCCACTTGACAAAGTGTTTGCCCCATAGCCGTGAAACTCCCAGAAAAAAAGCAATGAAAGCACTTCAACGCCTCATTTTAGATGCTGCCATTTGCAATGAACAATACCCGTTCAACATCGTGCAGAAGTGCGTGCTCACACCATTTTTTCGTTTAGAGCCTTCTACGTGACATACCTTTAGTGATTTTCGTCTCATTAAAAAGTGAAGAAGGTTGAGGATTGATATATATTGCTCTTGTTCGATAACCCATTTCGTCGAAAAAAAGTGACCTGTAGTACAAAAAACCCTCAGCGCCTGGCTTATCGCACGCTGTCGATTATCAACCGCGCCCACCTATAGAGACAGTCTGTGCAGCCACCAGGGTGAGTCTTCCAGTCGCGCGAGGCGATGGCGAGCAATGAAACTCGGGAGGAGAGGACCATATAGGGAAGGACATCTCAGATCTACTAACGCGAAACCCGGGGAGGGCTGAACGATAATTCCCGCTTTCAGTTAACACGCATGCTGCGAATCTTTATTGTTCTACTGGGCACAAGAGATATCTCCCACCAACAATACATTTCAGGTCAAGATTCAGTGCCCATGTATACTATATGGAGTGGCCGGTGAACGGTTAAGTAAGCAAATTAGGTACGCAAATCGACCGTCACGGCAGCAGCAGACGACCATGCACGCCGTCACACTAAGACCCTAAGATGCTTCGCTCCTAAAATCAGCAGCAGCTGTGGATAGGTGAGCTGCACAGTGAAGCAGGACAACGCAGCAGGTGCAAACCCGCGCACGACGCTTTGATAATGCCTGTTTGTTTTCTGCGCCGCTAGATTACCTCTTGTCGGCATTGGCATCTCGCAATGGTCCCGAGAAGAGCAAATGCACCCCATATGGGCGAAGGTGCACCTACGTTCTGAGCAAGCGCAGTCTTACTGTTTTAAAAACTATTTCAGCGGGTAGCGTGGAACCTCTATAACGCTATACCAGAACTGTTTTTAATAAGATTTATCAGAATATAGTGCAAAGAACATACCGGCTGCAGTGTTTTATTATTTATGGTGCTCCACTGCAGCCCTGAGGGTCATGGTATCAAATCGTGGCTGTGGCGGACATTTGCCATTGAGGCGAAAATGCTAGAGACCTGTGAACTCAGGTCTAGGTGTACGCTGAAAAACACCAAGTGCTTGAAATTGTCGGAGCACTCCATTATGGCGCCTCTCGTAGTCATATTGTACGTTTGGGCGTGAAAAAACAAAACTTAAGTAATCAGTGCCAAAAAAAAAACAGTCTATGCACACAGCGGTGTGCGCACACTCGAGTTTATTATTAGTATGTGAAGTTTAACGTCCCAGAACCACCGTATGATTATGAGAGACGCCGTAGTGGAGGGCTCCGGAAATTCCGATCATTGATTGATTGATATGTGGGGTTTAACGTCCCAAAACCACTATATGATTATGAGAGACGCCGTAGTGGAGGGCTCCGGAAATTTAGACCACCTGGGGTTCTTTAACGTGCACCCAAATCTGAGCACACGGGGAAATTTCGATCACCTGGTTTTCTTTAACATGCAACCAAATCTGAGCACACGGGCCTACAACATTTCCGCCTCCATCGGGAATGCAGCCTCCGCAGCCGGGATTTGATCCCGCGGCCTGCGGGTGAGCAGCCGAGTACCTTAGCCACAAAGCCACCATGGCGGGGCCACACACTCGAGTTAATATATATGCTAACTGAGGACAAGACTAAGTCGTTGAGCGTTCACGGTGAGCAAATAAATGCTGATGGACTTTTCCTGCAAGCAGGCTTTACTGCGTCTGAACGCCAACTCGGCAATTTTTCGGATCGTGTACGAGGTGGAAAAGAGATTTGAATTTTTTGCTTGATTTTGCTATCAAGAATGGATGAACATCGGTGTGTTCCCTGAGGACAATTGTGACGAAGAGATCATTATCTACGAGGAAAAAAAGTGCTCTGGACGTCCTCAAAACAAGTATGGTAATTACGGAGGATAGGATGAAGATTGTTTATTGCGCTTGCTTTTTTGTCCTCTCCCTTAATTTCTTTTTTTTGGCTCTCGTATAAAACAGGGTGAATTAATGATGACAAAATAAAAAAGTACGGCAAAGAAGAATGACATTAGTGTAGTATCTTAAAATATATACTACAGTATAGTCATTCTTCTTCGCCATCCTTTTTTTTAACTCTCTATCAAGTTATCTACCTAATATTTTCACAAACTTTGAATACTTAGTGATGCCAAGAAAGCTATATAAATAGCTTTAAGCAGTCAACCGTGCATAAAAATTTGAATTCTTGTTCGCATTGAATTTAGAAATTTTTCGCGCATGATATTCGGTCTGTCCTTTAAACGTTATCTTCACGTCTGATTGACAAGATAACTGCCTTTTTTTATGGTGCTTATACCAAGCAATCTGATACCCGACGTTTAGAAGAAGTGGGACCTGGTCATTTTCGTTACTTT